ATTTACGTTTACACACACACACAAATACAAACATGTTTTATTATCTAAATGGCGATATTCCATAAATGACTTATGTTTTTATACTGAGCTAATTATAAATACTATAACAAAACCCTTACCCCCAAAGAAAATTGTATGTATTGTTAGGATTTTAGTTTTATTTTCTTAATTTTTTGTTTAAAAACTGTTGTTTTTACAAATGAGGATGTCCCTGGATGTCCCCAAAATGCTGTTTTTTCCATTCTGTACATTACAATGTTGTAATTCCTAAATTCTCATTTAGTATTTAAAATGATTATGAAAATGAATAATTTATCTGCCATTGGCTGTAATTTGAAAATAATTACTGCCTCATCAATAATATCAGTGCATCCAGAAAATACACTGAATACAATTGTTCTTATAGCATCTCTACGATTTCAGATTCATCCTGTAAATACAAACTGGAATTATTCGGTTTCTAGATGCATTGCCAGGTATCATAATACACCCTAATATAAGCTGACATAAGTGGAGGAAATGAGCCAAGATGAGTGCTGTTTAGCTTTCCCATAATGGTGTGAGATATTACATGAAGATTATGTTCTCTATAGAACACAAACCCATTTATAAAAGCCTCCTCTCATACCGGTGTAGCCTATCCAGACTCAGTAACCTGGTGGCCTTCTTTGCTTACAGTGAGGTTAACCGCCAACCTTGCATGAGAGGATGTTGGCAGCGCTGTGTTCTTTAACTTTGCACTTTGCTCTGAAGGGAAGAAATCTAGTCACAAAGAAGACATTTGGGCCACTAATCTGCTTTGGGGAAGCGTTCCCTGAACACAGCCCATCTTGGAAAAGAATGAATGTTTTACCTGTGCCAGCAATTCATAGATATGTTTTTATATTCACTGTATGTGATGACGGACAAAGTCTTGACATTTATCTGTAGAGATGAGCATTTTGTTGATTTATTCTTATGTTCCATAAGGCTTTGGCTTATGTTGGCACGCTGCGCTAAGCAGTAAGACACTAAGTGCCAAGTAAAAACCATGTCAACTACAAAAAGATATCAGTCTTTGAAGCTATTATACAGAAGTTGGCGTGAAGAGCAGTTGCCTGACCTCCCAAGTGTAGTTATGATGAAAAATATGTTAAATGTACCTTTCTGTGTGCAAACCCCTTATGTGTGGTAAAATCACAATAACTCACTGCCTTGTGTGGCTTATTGCTTTTATAAAATGGCAATGACAGCTATAAAATTACTCCAGCGTTTTTAATTGATTACTAGTACCTTGGCACAGTAATGTAGAATTAAGCTGATGTGCAGTCACAGGTGTACATTCATTGTCTATTTGAAAATTACTGATGCGGTAATCTGTAGGACACAAAAGAAGGTGTTTTGAATGTTTCAGCTGTTCCTCTCCATATTATGAAAGTCAGTTATGAAATATTTAATGCCACAAACCTGGGAAACTTTGGCAATAATTAGTTTGTTAGACGTGCTCATAATATCAACCCAGTAACTAGTGATGCACTGAAATGAATTTTGTACAGAATCTCAGAAATTGTAGCTAAAGTTTTCATTTAGCCAAAACCCAAAGCTGAAAATAAAGGTATCGGTGATTAAATTTGTGTAATTAAACTCTTTATGCTGTTCTCAGGTGAAAAATTAAACCAGTCTTAGTCAAGTTCTTTGGCGATGAGTCTCCTCTGAATATTTTAGAAGAACAAATTTTTCATATTGCTACTCTAGCATAATTTTTGGTCATGATGAAGTGCTGATATATGTATGATATGTATGTAAGATGTGTGTGTGTGTGTGTGTGTTTTGCTGTTTTATTTTCTGTTGCCAAAATGTTGCCAAAACATGATTTTGTGATTAAAAACCTGTGAACCAACCAGTGATGGTCCAAAATGACTTTGCATTCAAGGTATGCATTTCAGAGTTTCTTGCATTTCCTGGAAATTGAATCATGACTTTGCTGTTGTTAGCGCGATGCTCTACTGTTTGATCTACAGGAATGCAAAAAGTTTTGTATTGGTCAAGCAATCTGATTGGATTGGATTTTCACAAGTGTTTTCCAGTTTTGTGTGAAGTGACATGTGACATGTGGCCAAGTATGGTGACCCATACTTAGAATTAGTGCTCTGCATTTAACCCATCCAAAGTGCACACACACAGCAGTGAACACACACATACCGTGAACACACACCCGGAGCAGTGGGCAGCCATTTATGCTGCGGCGCCCGGGGAGCAGTTGGGGGTTCGGTGCCCTGCTCAAGGGCACCTCAGTCGTGGTATTGAAGGTGGGAGAGAACGCTGCACATTCACTCCCCCCACCTGCAATCCCTGCCGGTATGAGATTCGAACCCGCAACCTTTGGGTTACGAGTCCGACTCTCTAACCATTAGGCCACGACTTCCCCCCTGTGCAATATCAAACAGTGGGTGTCCAGACCACCCTTGTCATTGCTACATGGTGGCCACACATCAAATGTTTTGAGCAACATGGAGTTACATGGTCAAATTCTGTTCATATTTTTTGAGAAGGTTATGGTGTTTATGAAAAGTTCCCTGAGGTATTTCCACAGTCTCATAAATCCATTAGATCCTGTGTGGGTTTGTTTCATGGCCAATCACAGAAAAATGTGTAATTCTGTTTTCTGTCTGAACGTAGTTAACTTGTAGAGTTCAGTTTGTTCTCAGGGCTTCCAGAGGTTCCTCCACTGGATAGCACGTCTTAGCGGTAAAGCAGGACTGGTTTAGCCGGTGCCTGTGGTTTGAGCAATTTTTAGTCAATCTGCTCTGAAAAAAAACTCTCCCTGTAATTCATTGGATATAAATAAACACGTCACGTTTGCCTGGATTACAGTAGACACACATTTTAAAGCTTGGCCCAACAAGACTATGCCTGCATTTCTCAATGTAGGTCATGTTCCTGATCTGGAGAAATCTGAACTAAAAAAGTTGTAGACGTCTATCAACAGCTGCATTTTGTGGTTTTAAAGTCTTTAAACAACATCCAAATGTTCTGAACAAGACATGGCTTTGTATTTTATTGATTAATTTAAATCATATGTTCTTGGAAAACCAAACAAGCATGTCAGTTTACTTGTCTCATGTGGGTTACATTTATGTTTTCACATTTAGCAGATGCTTTTATACAAAACCGTGAATTTAGTGTATACGTCAATTTGTGGAGAATCTTAGGCTATGTTTACACGACAACGATGTAGTCAAAAACTGAACAGTTTTGCCCTTGAGTTTTTAAAATGTTTCACGTATACACGACAGCGTTTTCAAAACAATTTGCATTTACACATATCCGCGAAAACGGCCAAAAACGCTGTATTACACTCTAAAAAATGCTGGGTTGTTTCAACCCAACTTTGTAGCAAACTCTTGAGCAGCAGCAGCAACAGGGGAAGTCGTGGCCTAATGGTTAGAGAGTTGGACTCGTACCGGCAGGAATTGTAGGTGGGGGGAGTGAATGTACAGCGCTCTCTCCCATCTTCAATACCACAACTGAGGTGCCCTTGAGCAAGGCACCGAACCCCCAACTGCTCCCCGGGCGCCGCAGCATAAAAATGGCTGCCCACTGCTCCGGGTGTGTGTTCACTGCTGGGTTAAACGCAGAGCACTAATTCCTAGTATGGGTAACCATACTTGGCCACATGTCACGTCACCTCACCTTAACAGTACCATGTACTCCGTCATTGTTTAAAATTGACACATACTGTGCATGTCTACATACCTAACACATACTATGCACGCGCATGACGTCACCATTTTCAAAGATTCCCATTTTGGGTGTTTACACGGAAACGATAACGGTGGCGATTTCAAAAACTTGCACTTTGAAACCCATTTTCAAAAATATGCGTTTTCAATCCCCAAAACGCCGTTGTCGTGTAAACGAACAGGCCAAACGCATAAAAAGTTTTGCATTTTTGGCTGAAAACGTTGTCGTGTAAACGGCCCCTTATTCACTTGCCGTTGGTAATCCCATGATCTACAATAGGGTTTCCCAAATCAGTTGATGAAAAGCTAGTAATTAAATTGAATATACAATTTAAATAAATCTGGCTGGTGGCTGCACAATTAATTGTAATAAAAACTAAATCTTAAAAAAAAAAATTAAATCTTAAAAGCTTAGTGTAAATATCAAAATAAAGGCTGTGATTTAATTAAATATATAGTCTGTATTCTGCCAAAATAAAAGCTTGAAGATTTTAACATTTGAAAGTGAAGAATTTAAGACATAAATATTAATATTGTAACTTGCAGTGTAAAATAAAATGTATACAAATAATTTATTAAATCTTTATTATATAAATATTAAATAAATGTCAAGTATTTATTTGTTATTTTATAGGACAATTGTTATTTACAACAGTAATGTATTTATGTCTTTTTATTTTATAACTTTTATATTTTAAGTCTAATTTTAAAATATTTAAAGATAAAAACAATCAAAATAAGGACTCAAACTGCAAAAAAAAAAAAAAGATTACTTATGTGACCATTAGCAAACCATGAACATGCAAATGTGACATTAAATTATTGAAATATTAACTTAAAATCTCAGGGGTTACTTTAAGTAAATATTTTATGTTTAACTGGTTTAGCTGACAAAAAATCTTGAAAGCCTGGTCTTCAAGAAGAACTATAGGAACCCCTAGATGGGGTTCAAATGAACCCGCAGCATTACCCACTGCACCACACAATCTACATTAAAAAGATACACTTCGTTTAAACCTTCTAAATGTAGTATCACAAAATGTATTACAACACTGCATAAACCTTTAGAAAGTATAATGCATTGATTTTTCTACAGAGACGACTTGCTGCAAATGGACAGGAAAATGATCCCGTGCCCTGCCTAAATTGCACAGACATTTTTCCACCCAAGGCCATATGGAAGAATGTGTTGATATGAATTGCTGATTTTGTTAATATGCCAGCATAAGTGATTCCTGATGTTACGCTTTTTCTGAAATGTCCCATTCTTCTCCGCAGCTGCCACGGAGGGGCGAGTCAACGGAGGTGAGGACTTCTTTCAAAAGGTATGGAAAACCACATTGCTTTGGCAGCCGCATGCAGCGGTCGAAAATAGGATAGCATCATGTTGCATGTATAATTATTTCTGCTGAAGGACATACTGCAATTAGTGCTGCACGATACAGCAGTGCAACAGCTTTGCGGTTCTCAAGCCTCAAAATACTACCATTGCGGTAATAGAATAAATACGGGACTTCCATAACTAGCGTTCTACAGTATGCCCAGTGTGTATTTGCTCAGTCAAATTTGAATCAAAATTATGTATTCGGCAACATAAAGAGGCTCACTTTTTCTCATTTGTGTAAATATTGTGCCGGTTACAGTTTAGCATACCAATTTCAAGAGGAAATGACAGCACTTTCTAGTTCAAATATAAAAGAAGCATATTTAGAAAATTCTGCCATTCCAAACTTCTCTGTTTTTCAGAACAAAAAAGGAGATAATTTAATGATTGTTAAGCTGGGGGAATTCAATACAATGGCAGTACACTGTGACACATTTAAAGGAATAGTTTACCAAAAAATGAAAATTTAGACTGAGGCCATTCAAGATGTAGATGGGTTTGTTTTTTCATCTGAACAGATTGGAGAAATTTAGCATTACATCACTTGCTCACCAATGGATCCTCTGCAGTGAATGGGTGCCGTCAGAATGAGAGTCCAAACAGCTGATAAAAACATCACAATAATCCACAAGTAATCCACACCACTCCAGTCAATCATGCCATAATCATAATCCATAATAACTTTTCTTCCTCCAGTGAAAAAGTCCATCCCCTGTTGTCCTCTCACATTAAAATTCACCAACATATTTGTTTAGAACTGTTTTGCAATGTTAAACAGCTATGTAAATGGTGCTTGATCTGAGCATATTTCTCTCCTAAATCAGAAGACACGTATTACATGACTCGTATTAGACTAGATGATTCATATTACAGCTGGTTTTTGACCATTAAGATGGTTAAAAATGTCATAATAATGGATTTGTTTATTACAAACATGCATGGATTACTTACATTACTTGTGGATTATTGTGATGTTTTTATCTGACTCTCATTCTGACGGCACCCATTCACTGCAGACGATCCATTGGTGAACAAGTGATGTACTGCAAAATTTCTCAAACTCTGTTCTCTGACTGGTAAAAAATTGAGAAATTAGTAAAATAGATTTTTCTGATGGTTATTCAATTTTTTAGATGATTTCTGATGGCTCTTGTGACACTGAAGTAGTGATGGCTGCTGAAAATTGCCATCAAAGGCATAAATTACATTTTAAAATATAATAAAATAGAAAACAGTTACTTTAAATTGTAATTATATTTCACATTTACTGTTTATTGACGTATTTCAAAAACATTGAAAAACGTTACTGCCCCTAAACTTTTGAATGGTAGTGTTCCTTTGGTGCTGAATTATCACCATATTAATTATTAAAATTTTATTCTAAATCAAAAACAAACAAAAAAAATCCAAAATTACATGAGTGATATATGTGATACTTTACTTGGCAATGCTAAAATCCCTGTTAAAAATCTGCATCATAAAATGGAAAAATAATAACATTCAAACTGATCTCTGCAAAAGTGTACAGGAAGTCCGTGCAAAAGTGTGAAGTGTGCGATAAATCACATTTACTTCGAGAGCCTAATCAGTGACTCGTGACACAACGGCTTTTCTTGAAGGATACTCAAAACAGGTCTCCTGTACGTTTATGGTCACGCCAAAACAAGCACACTTGGCGTATTTGGATTCAGTGGGGTAGAACAGTTTTTGGGGCGAACACTTGCCGGCCTAATTGGCAGGCTGTGAATAAATACAGGCTGGAGAAGCCAGACAGCTCAGGGCAGGAATGAGATTCAGCACCTGAATCCGAGCATGCTGGCTTTCAAAATAAACACACTCGCAGTCGCAGGCAAGTCGATATTGGTAAGAAATACAGTCCATGTCAAAGTTCCATTTGTTTTAACCTGTAAGGTGTGGAAAAATAATCAGACCCAGTTAAGAGAGCTTGGAAAGTGCCTGTTCTGGAAGATACGGCTGGCTGCACCGTGAGCCTTGGGCTGCCACAAATTTGGGTAGTCGCAGCTGATGCGAAGCTCCAGGAACGTGATTTTCCTGATTTTCAAACAAACACAACCTACCATATCATGAACAGTTAACAATGACCAGTTCTCAAACGACACCCTAAATGTGGATTTACAGCATCACGGACTTTGCTCGCGTGCGTCTGTGAAGTCCATGCCTCCATACACCAAAAAAAGGAGTAGGATATAATTTGAAACCATTTTCAAAAATGAAAATTTGCTGAAAATTTACTAACCCCCAGGCCATCCAAGATGTAGATGAGTTTGTTACTTCATCAGAAAAAAAAATCACTCTGCAGTGAATGGGTACCGTCAGAATGAGAGTCCAAACAACTGATAAAAACATCACAATAATTCACAAGTAATCCACCCCACTTATTTGTTTAGAACTATTTTGGACTGTTTTCACTTGTAAATGTTGCTTGATCTCTGCAGATTTCTCTTCTGATTCAGACAGGATGATTTTTTCACTAGAGAAAGCAATATTATGACTAGAGTGCTTATATTTTATCCGGAAACAGTGATTTGGAGATATGTTTATTACAAACACACAGCTTTTCGCTTCATGTGTCGAGTGGATTACTTGTGGATTATTGTGATGTTTTTATCAGCTGTTTGGACTCTCGCTCTGACGGCACCCATTCACTGCAGAGGATCCATTGGTGAGCAAGAGATGTAATGCTAAATTTCAACAAACTCATCTATATCTTGGATGGCCTGAGGGAGACTACAGTTTCAGCAAATTAAAAATGTTTTGGTGAACTATTCCTATAAATTTGACATTTTGAAGTAAAAAGACTGAAATCTTGTAAAACGTCTCAGGTTACTTGTGTAACCATGGTTCCCTGAGTAGTACAGCTTACAATATAGGCCATCCAATTTTCAGAAGGATCATGAACGCATCTTTTGCAGTTGTTTTGCACCTTCTGCAAACTTCTGCTCATGCGCCAAAGTGTAGACTTTTGGACGGGCCATGTTTTGCATCTGTATTAGGGGACATTAAAAATTAAGTATATGATAGTTCTTCTGTGATATAACACAGTGTATCTCCTAAGGAACCTTGTAAATGTGATCAACAGATAAGAGTGGTATTTTTCTGCTCACGTCAACATACTTGTGCTGAAAACAAATACTTTATCTAAACAGACTTGTGCTGAAAACAAATACTTTATCTAAACACACTATGTAAGAATGTGAAATTCAGCCTGCACCCAGAGACACAAATTAATTCATGGAAAATGACCTCAGAAATTATCTCACAACAACAAACCATTTCAAAAAATGTTTCTCAAAAATGGTACAAAAGGGACTTATTTTAAAGGACTTTTAAAGGAGTCTTTTGACTGTGAGGAAAATATTTCTGCCAACTGAGCATCCCACGCCCCAAGAGCATGTCTTCGGTAGATTGATACCAGTCCGCTAAAATTACGTGTGTTTTCAATAACAACATTGCGTTCCTATCCATCATGGCTGCTGCGTTTTCGTGTCTGCGCCACCGGGTATTCCGAGATCCTGCACAATGATGGGATTCAGCCCTTTTTCCTTAGTCGTTTCCCTCACGCTGAGAGCTCTGATCAGGTAACAGCGAAACCTCAGGAAACCTCGCCTCATCTCGCTGAAAGAATGCAGCCATGTTTTTAACAGAATATTGGTTTAGCTACTCATACTGCTATCTAAATATTCGTTTTGTAGACTGTTCTAGTTGCCAACTAGTTTTTGCTTTTGTTGCATTGTGCTTTTTCAGTACTGGATGAAAGAATGGTTCATTGATTTCTATTTTAAAGGACTTTTAAAGGAGTCTTTTGACTGTGAGGAAAATATTTCTGCCAACTGAGCATCCCACGCCCCAAGAGCATGTCTTCGGTAGATTGATACCAGTCCGCTAAAATTACGTGTGTTTTCAATAACAACATTGCGTTCCTATCCATCATGGCTGCTGTGTTTTCGTGTCTGCGCCACCGGGTATTCCGAGATCCTGCACAATGATGGGATTCAGCCCTTTTGCCTTAGTCGTTTCCCTCACGCTGAGAGCTCTGATCAGGTAACAGCGAAACCTCAGGAAACCTCGCCTCATCTCGCTGAAAGAATGCAGCCATGTTTTTAACAGAATATTGGTTTAGCTACTCATACTGCTATCTAAATATTCGTTTTGTAGACTGTTCTAGTTGCCAACTAGTTTTTGCTTTTGTTGCATTGTGCTTTTTCAGTACTGGATGAAAGAATGGTTCATTGATTTCTTTTATTTGAGGTGTTTGAAAATGCATGCATGCATCACTATTAGACCTTTTATTGCTTGTACTAAGGGTTGGTGGGGGAAAAAAGAAATGATATAAAAATGACATATTGACATATAATCAAAAAATCCCAAATTGTGCAGCCCTACAAACAAGCACACTTACAAATAAGCATTTTTGAAATCAGATTTTAATTCGCAATCACACTTTTTATAAAAAAAAACAAAAAACTGCAATTTATTTTTTTCCCCCAAAAATCGAGCAGCCCTAGAAAATACTATAAGTCCCATATTTAGGGCCTAGAATATCATAGAGGCTCAACCACCTACAAACCACTCTTAAAACACTCACAATGGCATAGTAATTTGCTAATGAGCAATCAGGAGACGTTATCAACGCTTATAGCAATGCTCTGAAACCATCCACCCTCGCACTGTGGCGACACAGGCTTGCGTGACTCAGAAAATGTAAATATCTGTGTTTTAGTGTAGTTAGATTATTTTTTAGGCAAATGAAACAATGAAATTAATTGATAAATGTTCGTCTGGTCTTGCATGATGCAGTTTTTCATCTCTGGTACGGATTACTGTCATTGCTAACTCATTTTATAAACTCTTCTTTGCCCCTTCAAACGCTCAGTTGTTTATAGAATGAGGATGAATTGTAAACTGTTGTAAAGTTATTTG